CAGCCATGCAGTCGAGGTGGGCGCTGTACGTTTCCCGTTGTACAGGCCTGACTTCAATACACTTTCTACTGATATCATATTAGTAAACAGTTAGCCTTTGTCGCATATGATCTTATTGGTTCTGCCGGCTTTACTTGACTCCGAGAGTAAGCACCTCCGCTTCCACTCCCGTTTCAAACATCATAATCCCCTGACTGTATCTTGAGGCCTGGACTCAAAATCGTGCAGCTGCCCTCTCGAGTTATTTTTCGTGAAGCAGTCATATTGAGTCCACATTCAGATCTAACTTTCTGCGCCTCTATAAGTGGAGTTCTGCTGGATGCTAGAACAAACCAGGCCATTGAGACTCCGTTCCCAAAATGTTGCCCTTCCACCCATCCGAGCGTTTCCAATGTCGGTCATCAGTCATGTTTTAAGTTTGTATAATCCTCTTGCTTGTCCATGATCTAACACCTTGCTATCTTTGCTAACCTCGTGTGTGCATGTGCCACTGGCCTTTCTCGAGTTTGTTCCGCACATTTACTGTGCCTTCGCATCTCCTGGGGGTTTTATCACTCACGCCCTCAAGAGACCAACGTTAGCAACCAGACCATGACAATGGAGTGTGAGCGAATAAGGCTTTCTGCCTCAATGTCTTTGCCATGTTTAATCTTAACAAAACGATTCATGCCACGTATCTTGGTCGTCAGCTTCTCTTCGGAATATTACTGTCAGCAGTATTGATTCTCAATGTTGTGTTTGAGCGGGACCCTACTACAGCACTTACTACACCCACTTCGCCAAATGCTCTCTACGTTTCCGCCTTTTCAGCGAGCCTTGTAGTGCTGATTTCTCCATTAGTGTTCCAAGAGCCTCATATGTTTTTTTTTCAGAAGCAGCACACATTTTTGTTTAAGAAAGGGTATACTAAAAACACAGAAGGTGGATCTTTATTATACAAAGTCACATTTGAGCGGCCTTCACCGATTTTTCCTGATTACAGGACACTAATAGGCATCTGAGTTTTCCCGTGGGCAGTGGCGTTCGCCTAGCAGTCAATAATCGCAGTTTAGTTCCAAATGGCTACGCGAGTCTTCCTTGTCCCTGTTAGTATAAGCTCTCCTTACCACAAGGCTTATTTTGCTTTATATTGCCTCTGCTTTTGTATGCTCTGCAGATCTCCCTATGCGCCTTGTGCGTGAGGTTGTTCTGCTTACTTCCGACCGGAATCTCCGCCTCAAAGCCCTCAGCCTCAACATCCCCGCTCGTCCTCTTCGTTCCTTTGTTGAATGGACAGGCCTACCCACTCCGCCAGTTGGTTCATTGTCCTGCACTTCCGGTGCACATCTTGATCCCAGTCCGGCTTGCTCCTCAACCGCGGGCGGTTCCAGGCATACGGATCACAATCGCTGGGATCGGAGGACAGCGAACAAATAGTGCAATCCCATCATCCCACCTTATCCCCCTGTACAACTGTCT